GTCAGCGTGTCCTTTGGAGACATTCGAGTCTCCAAGGACGCGAGTAGAGGTTGCCCTCAAGGTTCGGTCTTAGGTCCAGCGTGCTGGACAGTTATGTTCGATGAGCTTCTCCGCGAACTAGAGACGAAAATAGGTAGGTCCTTTATCGCATACGCCGACGACCTTTTGGTCACGGTCGAAGGCGACTCGCGCAAAGAATTAGAAGAAAGAGGGCAACAAGTAGCGAATATAGTTAGGAACTGGTGCGAGGGGGCTAAACTCCAGATCTCATCGCGCAAGACTGAGGCAATTGTCCTCAGGAGCGAACCGGTCAGGAGGGCCCCCATCGGTAGAAGGGGAGGAACGCGTCCGGACCGTAAACGCAAAGCCCACTGGGCCAAGAAGACAAATCTCGCGGCAAGACCACCGACCATTCGTTTAGGAAATGAAAAGATCGCGTTTAAGAAAACAGTTAGGTATCTTGGTATCCATTTTGATAGGAACATGGGAGTATCCTCCCATTGTAGATACTTGAGCGACAAGGTCGGGTCGCTCTTTAGTAAATTAGCTAGGATGGCGGGATGTCGGTGGGGATTGCGCTTCAGTGCGCTCTCCGCGATTTACCGGGGCGTGTTCGCGCCGACGGTGGCTTACGCCGCTGCCGGGTGGGCCGACCTGTGCGCGGGGGCTGACCTGAAGGTTCTCAGGACCCTGCAGCGCCGAGCGCTCATCTCGACGACCGCTGCGTACCGCACGGCGTCGACGGAAGCGCTCTGCGTGGTTGCTGGCGCGCTCCCCGTCGACATTCTTCTCCGCGAATACTCGGCGCGTTATATGGCGAGGAAAGAGTTGGATGCCAGGTTAGATAACGTGGTAGTGCCGTTCACCGGGAACATTAAAGAGACACATGGTCTCATTAGGGGCGAGGCGTACAAGGTGTGGCAGGCTCGATGGTCTTCTTCGAGCAAAGGCCGCACCACGTACGCCTTCTTTAGTAATGTAGAGCGCAGGGTTGATGCGCGGTGGGTCCGCCCTGACCACAACGTGACACAAGTGATCACCGGACACGGCAGGTTCCAGGCACGCCTTGCGTCCTTGGGCCTTGTGAAAGGTGAGATGTGTGTTTGTGGGGAGGGAACCGACACGGCCGCGCACCACCTTCTGCGCTGTCCCGAATTCGAGCCGCAGCGGGAGGCTCTTCGGGAGGTCGTTCCGGCCGCGCGCTGAAGGTGGCCGGAGGCGGCACAATACTTCGTGTCGACTCCAGAGGCCTACTCCATCTTCGCGGCCTGTCGGGAAACCCTCTTTTTAAAGGGTCAATATTAGATTTTGCAGCGGCCTACCCGGGGGATGTCGGAGCCCTCGGGCATGGATAAACGGCCTCGCAACCTTCGGAGATCACCGTGGACCCGGGCCGCTGAGGCAGGGAAAACATAATTAATAAATATTTCTTCTTTTCAGGTTCCCACATCCATCACCCATACCCAATACCCTATCCTCTTCCCTTCCTCTCCCATCCAAAGGGTCAGAGCGTGTGTCTGGGCGAGACACAAGTGAGCGGGCCTCCTCGTGGTCCCCGTGGGCGTGGGGCGCACGCTGCAGCCACAACCGTCAGGCGGCGCGCGCGTCACGGCTGAACCGCTCACCCTGCGAACACGTCCCGCAGGCGCTGCTGGATTTTTCCATCGCCCTTCCCCTGTCAGTGGTTGACAAACGGTAGAAGCAGATGGTAGCAAGTTGCGTGTAGCCTTCACGGCTGAGGGAGCAAAGCGCGGCACCCTATGGGTGTCGGGCTTCACACTAACTAGCCGGTCCAGTAGGTGATCAAATTGGGCGAGGTCCCACGAGGGCGGAGCATAAACCCCAATCACGTCTAGGGCTCCCTACTCGACCGCAACATAGCCCCCACTTCACACAACGTCCCTCATAATACCAGGGTGACTCCCGGGGACGGAGTGCGGCTCGGTGGCGATTCCCAAACCCGCATCGTGCTTGTGTAGAAACTGCAGGAACAACTCTTGGGCTTCACGAGCGCGGTTAAGGTTCGCTTAAAAGAGGTGGGTCGCTATTACGGCTTCCCACTCTCCTCCAGGCTATCCCCTGGGCTATTCGTGGGAAGGGGACCCGCACTTGGGTTCTCCTTTTCCAGCGAAGCGGTCCTCTTATTAGCCCCTGTTTTCCGCGGGATCCTTTGCTCCTTAGGAGCAGGGCCCGCAGAAGAGACCGGGGTCTCCACTTGAGGGACCTCTTTTTACGATGTCTGGGAGGTTCCTTTTCCTTCTCAAAAGAAGAGGGAGGAGTAGCCGTGGAGGATTTGCGCCTCCTTCTCCCCCTGTTGTTTCCTTTGCACCGCTTCACCATCTGGCAAGCGGACCCTCCCATTCTGTGGCTACAGAGCCGACCAGCGTCGCGACACACCGGACATGTTACCGGTGCGTCGCACGTGGCGGTCCTGTGGTCGGCCGAACAGCAGTGGTAACAAAGACCACTGCGGTCGGCCTTACTTCTACAGGAGACTCTGACATGTCCCACTCCAGGCATTTGAAGCACTGGATGGGGCGCTTTGTCAGGGCCTCCACCCGGACGGAGGACGGAGGACAGCCTGCTTTTAGGTGTCTTGCGTCCAATAATTTGCGGGCAGCCGTAAGAGGACATTGTATCCACAGCGTTCCCATGCGGCCCGTCCCGGTCCGGATAACTCCGGCCTTACTATCCCCGAGTCCGCAACCCCATACGACCGCCACCACGGAGACTACGTCCTCCACTGTGGTCGCGTCGTCCAGATTGCGGAGCCGGATGTCGGCCTTCTTCACCGGACGCGCGATACGCACGTCCTCTTTTTTGGCGAAAAGGGCCGACATTTTGCTAGCATCCACCCTGGCATGCCCCTCCGGACCGAGGATCCCGAGGACTAGGGCCGCCGTAGCGGCATTCCTGGTCCTGATCTCCCCGATTCCGATGGTCCCCAGGTCAATGTTCTCCCTCGCCCGCCGCATCACGTTGGCGTAGCTGCCCGTTGGGCAACTCACTGTGAGTGCGGCGGCGCGAGGGACCTTGGAAAGAACGGGTTTCCCATCGCCCCCCCCCCCCCCC